TGTAAAGAGTGAAAATAAAGGGTTTTGTATACCCTTCCTGTGTATCTTGTCTACTTCCCACAGTTATTGAACATAGCTTTAGTAAGCTCCCTGTTCCGAGTCAGGTCTGTGCATGTTCCCAAAGGAAGTAAGACGGAACATTGAACCTGATAGCAGGAATGATGAAAAATGAGTAAACGCGTCCGCCTGGAATCGAACCGCGGACCTCTGGAATACACAACCAGCGTGCAGACCACCACACCACGAAGGCATGCCAGGAAGGCGGGCGAAATACCTTATAACATACCTTTATTTTTGAGAAATGAAAGTGCGTTAGAAGAGGTGCTGGAAGTGATCTCCCACTATCCGTACATACAGTTAAGCATGGCGCTGCATGTTCGCGTATGTGGTTGCCAGAGCGTCACTCTTTGGATTTCACGACGGACGTTGTCGGTGTGCGTGGTTTGTGCTTGTACGCAATACCTTTAAGACGACTCCATACGACAAATTGAAAGGAGATCAAGTTTGGAACAGAGATTTCACCGCGTCCATATTAACTACAGACGCTAGGCATGTTTTCCTATCTTGCTGGTAAGCTAAGTGTTAGTTCCTCATCATCCAAATGGTTCACAAATTCATGAAAAAGTGCCTGGTACACTTCTTGTGACAATAATGCAAAACAATTGGCCCGATGATGCGCCGCTGTGGTAATGCACAAAACACACCCATCTTTTGTGAATGAAAGGGTTTCTCGACGGCTGCGTGCTGGTTGTCGCTACTCCATAAACGTGTGTTTCGATAGTTCACCTATCCTGACAAGTGGAGACACGCTTAAATTTAGAGTCTTAGTTAACTAAACGGCGAATATTAACTGAGACTCTAAATACGACGAGCGTAGTAATAGCTTAGAGAGAGTGTAGCCAAAAGGCAAACGCGAGCTAGTCAGAATCTCTGGCTGTCTCACGAAGTCAGTAGAACTTCGACTTAAGTACTGTTCTTAATTGATTTTCATTTAACCACGATTCCAAAAACAAACTCTGGCAGGGAATTTGTAAGCTGAAATTAGAAGGGATAGGAAAGTAGCTTTTAACTTTAAGACAACTGTTAAAAATTTAAGATAAACCTTACAACTTGTTTACTTATTTCAGCGTATAACTTGCAGCAGGCGCTGATGATACACGCAAACTTTGTAAAATATGCACTAAAAATGAAGTCATCAAATTTGAAATCTTGGAACATAAAATTAAGGCACTTGTAATATCCCGTCGAAGGCAAAATGTCAAACAAACAGCGTGATTTATCTCTATGGATCAGCTTAGCAAAATGTCAAACAAACAGCGTGATTTATCTCTATGGATCAGCTTAGCAAAATGTCAAACAAACAGCGTGATTTATCTCTATGGATCAGCTTAGCAAAATGTCAAACAAACAGCGTGATTTATCTCTATGGATCAGCTTAGCAAAATGTCAAACAAACAGCGTGATTTATCTCTATGGATCAGCTTAGCAAAATGTCAAACAAACAGCGTGATTTATCTCTATGGATCAGCTTAGCAAAATGTCAAACAAACAGCGTGATTTATCTCTGTGGATCAGCTTAGCAACATACTGCTTTGTTGTTAAGCTTTGTATGTGACGGGTAACCTGACTGATTCTTGATAATATATATAGATACACACTTTCAGTCGTCACCTACAATGATTTTTACATAAAATCGTCATCCCTAAACCATATTTGTCTTATATGGCCGATTTTACATTAAAACATTTATTCCCCACTGTTTGAATTTTGCATTAAAAATCATACTTATGTATCATGAGGGCCCACCAACGGCCGAGTGGTAAAATCGCTGAAACTAGTTCCGACCTGGGTTCGATTCCAAGCGAACGGGTTGGCTTCATGGGAGCTTTCGTAGTTTTCCCCTGTGTAACGTGTCTACGAGCCAGCTTGCCTTAGAAAGTCCTCCACTAAGGCGTCCCTTCCCTTAGGCTGATATCCCTATCATGCTTTGCCGTAATTAAATAAGCCAAGCCGCCCAACCGGTATAGCGGTTAGCGTCGCTGACCGTACCAAAGGGACCGGGTTCAATCCCGGAAGAGGCATGGATGTTTTTAAATGTATAGTGTCGGTTCGGCACTCTAAATATGCGGCGAGCCGAAAGTCCTCTCGTGTGTTTTATGGAAGAAGAGAGGAGTCGGAGATCCTCGTACCCATCCCTTAGTCCTCTAGTCTAGTACCAGGTGTCTCATCAAATTGGGGCGAACTGAGCTAAATCTTAATGTACCGAGTGTGCTCAAGGTGTTGCAAACGGCGGCGTTTCTAGCGCTCCTTGCCACGAGGAATTTCGTGGGCTTGGGCGGACTACGTCAGACAAGTGAACATAAGCAACAACAACAAATAAACCAAACCCATTTGACTAATGGTTAAAAATCTAAACTCCTTCAAAATTTTCTTCGTTTTTTATTTTGTGATGTTTCTGTTATTATTTGAAATTTTTGTACTTAAATAAATTTTGTCATCGGAAATTATTGACATAGGGCAGAAAAAAGACTAGATTTATTTTAATTTACGATAAATATATGTATAATTTAGCTAAATTAGTTTAATTTTTACAACAGTCCGTCGTAAACCGAAAAATCGTATGTTTATTGTCTCATTCAATAATAACACATTATCAGTCATTAAACACACATTAAAGGGAACCTCCCAGCTTCTCTTCGACTATTTTTCGTTTATAGTTTTAAAATTTTAGTTCAAAGAATATATTACTTTAATTTACTTAACATGGGAGTTGATATTTGTCATTGAATTTTCTAGAAAGCATCCACCAATAGTCAAGTAAACATTGTAGTGGTCCTAAAAGCTCCGTGGTAATTGTTCATCCAGAGATATATTCTAGGTAGACTAAGATTTATTTTCATTTATTCTCACGCGGTTAAATAGAAGTTTAAATTGCGTATTCTCAAATGTAATTTAAATATAACAAGTGTTCGTCTTCCATAGAGGCTTATGAGAAATTATTACAAGAAATAGATGAAAACAAACCATAAAATTGTAACAAGGTCATGGTTAATCCCCTTGAATATATTGATATCAAATACTAGCTAGATATTTATGAATTGGGAAAGAAAAACATTCCTGATGCAAAATTAAAATCAAACACATCATGTATTTTATATGAACAATATTCTGCACCTAAATGAATTTGAGTATACATTGATGGCTCTAAAATACAAGACAATACTGGGGCTGGTGTATACAGTAAATTTTTTTCCCAATGTGGGACACTTCATAACGAATTTAAAGAATTTGATCGCACAGATCCTTGCAATCTCACTGGCTCTGGAAAACCTCAAGATAAAGATCGGTTGTTTCTCTAAAGCAGTTATTCTAGTCCATCGATCGCCAACCGGTGGTCCGTGAAAACTTTTCGATGGTCCGCAGAAAAATTGGGACATTATTTATATTTTTAGGAAGATTCAGTTTAAAAAATGACGACTAACAAAATCTATTATAGAATATGGATTATACTTTTATTTTTAATTCGCTATACTTTGAAGAAATTCTCTGAATTAGCGACTTTTAGTACTTTGAGGGTATCTTGCGACATTTGAGTGAGAGTTGTAATCCATGGATATGCTATGTATCGATTTGCGCGACTGGAATTCTCTTTTCTTTGATTACAAACATCTGCTATGTAATCAATAACACAGTTTTTCTCCTTGTGAATAGGCAACATGATGGATTTTTATGAGAGCCATCTGCATTTCTTCTTTATAATTGCATCACTGGAAGTTTCCGTTTTTATTTTGTCTAACTGTTTATCGATGGCGCAATTTCTGAGTAAGCGATGATTATTAGTTTACAATAATTTAAAACTGGTGGCATAACACTATCAGTTTATGGATATTGCTTTGCGTTTGCCGATTTGTTCTTGCTTTTCGCGAAGTTCTTTGATATGGAAATGGGAAACTTTCTATACACGATTTTTGTACATTTAATGTAGATTTTCAATGTGAACTAAATATGTGTAGTTTGCTGATCATTATTGTATAAATGTATTTACTTTATTTAATTCGTATTGGTGGTCCGTCAAATATAAAATTATATGCGTAGTGGTACATGAAGTTCTAAGGGTTGACGACCGCTGTTCTAGTCAATTTCAAAGCAGCCATGCAGACTGTAGTTATAAATCATGACACAGATGCCCAGATTATCTCGGAAATAAGACAAACCTTTAACTTTCTTTATAAACACAGCAAAACATGTTTCAAGGATCCTTAACATGAAAAGGCCAGACGCATAGCCAGAGAGGAAACGTTGAGCCAAAGACAGGAAACGATTCCTCCGAGTCACTAAAAGCATATTTTGAGAATAGGGATAATCTTAATCTGAGCAGGCCCAGATCAACAAGCAAATCTGGGTAGCATCAAGAACAGGAAAGGTTTTACAAAAACGCGTAAAGAGGCTGTGGCAAACTTCAGACCAAACAAACCACGATTGGATGGCACATCAACTTAATAAAATTGGCATCCTTCCATCTAGTATATGCCAAATTTGCAATTCGGACATCATGAATGCAGAGATGCTCAGAACTAGATAAAGAGTCTCAGAAACGTAGTGAGATAAATAAGCTATACTGGAATGCCAGAAATTTGATGAACTCCTTGTGAAGACTACTTCTCGTAAGTTTCCTTAGTTTTGTTTAAATTTGTAACTTTTGTTCCTATGTTTATTTATTCTGAATCTTACTTTAAAGTTTTGTTCCTTTTTATCATTTATCGTTGTTCTTGTGTGATGCTTGAGTTGTTTTATATGTTTGGATTGATCTTTCCAATTAAAGCCATAGTTTACAATAGTAAAAACAGTATTTCGTAAAAACTGCCCAAAAAGACCAGTGTGGTAACAATTTTGTGCATTTACCATAAATATCAGTTCAATTATTTTATAGTAAACTAGAAAATATTATAAATATGGTTGAAAATTCAGATGTATATCATTTGATATTCTTTATTTTATAGGCTTATCTTCTGAATATCCCGAGCTGGAACTGGAAAAATGGAGACGATGTGATATGCTTAGCCGAACTGAAACTGGGTTTCATTGCACAAAGTTGTTTGGCTCCAGGGTTTTCGACTATGGTCGCCAATCTCTTCGCAATGAGATCGTACAAAACGGTACGCATCAGAGTAAATTTAAGTTTTTTCTTTATTATTATTATCGATTGATTTAAAATTTATGAAAAATATCTTAATCTCCTTTTTTAGGTCAAGTTAATAAATAAAGGGTGAGCCATCTAACTTTTGGAAATTAAATCGGTTATTAAAAAAACTACTAATGAATATTATTTCAAAATTATGAGTTTATTAGAAAGATTGGACATTTTTATTTAAGAATGAAACACATCGTTCAAATAACTGCCACGGCCGGCTTAACAGTACCCCATCCGATCAACCCAATTTTTCAGAACATTTTCTATTCTTTGAGCTCCAATCGCATAAATGGCAAAATCAGTCGTCTCTGGATGGTTAGCGTAATATTTAGCCTTAAGGGTTCCCCACGAAAAAAATCTAACGAAGTCAAATCACAGCTCCGAGGCGGCCAATTGACATCAACGTTTCGGCTGATTATTCGATTTCCAAAAACAGTGCGCTAAAGATCGATGGTTACGTTGGCTGTCTGACAAGTGGCCAAACCATATGTGACTCATGTCACCCTCTTCAATTTTTGGAAACAAAAATTCGTTTAGCATGGCACGATAACGGTAAAGGCGGCTCCTTGTTCATTTTCGAAGAAAAATGGGCCAATGATGTAGCCGGAACAAAATCCACTTTTACCCAGTTGGATTTTTTTTTTAAATCCAAAGAGGCTTTGCCTTGAAGATCTATTGTTTTCGTTTTGCGATTTTGCGTTAATTCTCTATAAATATCCGTCTCACTTTTCAAACTATTGCCACCCAATGTTAGAGTCCAGCATTATATTTGAAGAAATTAAATAATGAAAAATCTGCATAAATGTTTGTATGTATTTCTCGCACTGTTGTAAAACAACGGTACATAGAGCCATCGAGTTTTGAATAACGTAATCCTACTACAAATATGGGCATGTGGAAGGCCAAATTTGGAATTTGTTTTATGATCAATTTCATATTTTTTAAACTTAACGAATTTTGATTAAAAAACTCGAGAATTCAAACGAGCAATGGCCAACACAAAAAAACATTTTATCTCAGCGAGCGAGATCTGTATCGGAAATTCTAAAGAATACTCAATTAAACCTATTTTGCGAATTGCTCTTGAACAGAATTTAATTTAAGTGCGAAGAACATGATATTTAATAAATAAAGGTAACAAACAAAAGTAGAAAAACGCCCCCTTTGTACGTAATTTAAAATCTGAAACCTTCCATATTTTCCTTTTTTAAGTAACTTTTTTTTTTTTTTTTTTTTTTTTTTGTTGTGTGTTGTGGGTGTGTGTGAGGAACCCTTAAGTATTACGCTAACCACCCACAGCCGATTGATGCCTTCAAACACGAAATCGAAATTGCCATTCATGCGACTGGAGCCCAAACAAACCATAATTTACTGAAACATTTGGTCGATCGGATGGGGGTACTGTCAAGCCAGCCGTGGCAGTCATTTGAATAATGTTGTGTTTCATTCTTAAATAAAAATATCCCGTCTTTATAATAATAATAAACTTCTAATTTTGAAAAATATTCATTAGTTTTTTTCATAATCGATTCAAATTCAAAAAGTTACGTGGCCCACCTTTAGATGTCATTATATTAGAGAAACGTTAATTAATCAACATATAACGTCTTCTATCTCCGAAGACTATTTTTTAAGACAATGAACAGCCTTAAAAAATTGTGTGTTCAAAACACAATTCAGTAATAAGACATGGTCAAACGATTATAAGTTTAGCGTAAGTCTCAGGTGCGAGAGACGTTCAACAGGCTCTTAGCCTGAGAAAGCCACATTCTGTGTGTAGTGACGTGTGGAAATTCATATCTTTCCTGGCATATCATTGAATAGTTCTTAACAGAGAAAGAAATTTCTCGTGATAAGCGAGGAATGAGCCTTACGCATAAACAAGTCGTAGAGTCAGTCATGTCATAAGCTGGAGATGTCATGAAGCAATAATGCGAAAGCAATAATGTTGGAAAATGCATATCTCAGATGTCGCATATGTTTAGCGTAAATGAATTATAACCCCTAAAAGTGAATGAGTGTTTGGTGAGTCATAAAGCGTGATTCTCCGATTCTTTACCGATGGTCGGATTCGTCTGGCAAAAAACATTGGTGACGTCGGGGAGGGAGGTTCGCCTTCCTTCCCTATGCTGCGCGCCACTGAGCGGCGTGGAAGTACAGAAAAGCTTTGAATTGAAATATTTTGAAATCCCAAGTGGTCTCGTACCTACAATCGAGGTACATAGTATTATATTTCGTGGTCGCACCATGACGACAATAGGGAGGTGTCGCACGTTCGGGTACGATGCTAGGTTTAATGAGTTCCGCCGTAGTTGGTGGGACCCTCTGAAGGAAGAGCGACGGGAAGCTCGCGACTTCGGTCGGCTTCTAGGGGGTCTTCCCGTAAATCGAACGCTTCCCCGTATTTCTTTAACTTAACTTTTGAACGCAAATAGAACCCCTCGAGGATCGGGTGATACCCGAGACCTCGCCTGTCTCAGGGTCGAATGAGACTTGCCGAAGGAGATTGCTTCTACTTGGTCGTATCGGACGTAAAACTCCGTCGACCTCAAGTCTCGTATCCCCTTGGCGGAGAAGCGTACAACTTAAGAGGTCACTCGAGTGGGGAAGAGACGATGCTAAAAACATGAGGACGGTAAAGAGAGCCGTAAACTCCGAATGCCTTCAACACGTACTGTATCTGTGTCATTCCAGATATTTAAATCGTCAAGCTTCCCGCCTTTCTAGAATGCCTTCGTGGTGTAATGATCAGCACACCCGGCGCATATCGAGAGGTGGCCCGTGGTTTGAGTCCCGGAAAGGGCACTACACATTTTTCATGTCTTCTCCTTTTAAATAACCTAATGTCTCTACAGTGGAGCCCGAACTAAAAAAAGGTGGTGGATGATGATTCTCCACCACCAGAATTTGGCGATTGGATCCCTTAATCCCCAGTCGCCCTTTAAAAGGGGAAGTATATAAGGTATTTCGCTCGCCTTCTTAGCATGTCTTCTTGGTGTAGTGGTCAGCACACTCAGCACGTATCGACAGGTCCGTGGCTCAATTCCCGGGGAGGACACTGCTCATTTTTCATGTCTCCTGCTTCGAAATGACCTAATGACTCTACAATCCCTAGATGGTCAAAGATGGTGCACCTAAAATTCAGGAGCAAATCAATTAGCACGAAAATAAATTACTGCCTCCCAAATGGTTAGTGTCGTTGACTACCTCGCCGAAGAATCCGGGTACGAATCCAGAAAAAGGCATGGATGTTGTAACCAGAGTACCAGAGGTATTTTTTGAACTTGTTTTGATGTTACTGTCAGACAAGTGAGGTAAGACACAAGAAATCTCTACTTGGAAGAATCCTTTTTGAAAGGTCAGAGAAGCTCGCTTTTTGAACGCTTTGAGGGGGAAGAATACTTAAACAGTTTTTCAAAATTTCAGAAGTTGAGGGATAAAACACACGCGTTAATATCGTATTTAAAAATTGTTGAAACTAAATTCCCAACATCGTGGAAAACAAGTAAAAGACACCTTAGAGGGTAAAAAGACAAAACAAAGCGCTCGTATGCATTGCTTGTTAATCAATACCCGAGAAACGAGGATTTATATAAAATAACGCATCTCCTTTTAGAGAACATGATGTTTTTTAAGTTATATCTTCAAAAAGTGACTAGAAACGTAAAGCTTGCGACAATATATTCTATTGATTACGCGTAGTATCTTTTGTGCTTCGGCTTCTTTTCGCATGAAAAAAAAAAAAAAAAAAGATTTCCATGGCAAGATTATTAAAGATGGTGACAGTCTCTTTTTAAAAAGGAGTAAAGTATGAGCTGATATGCATTTTTCCCCGTTTGCCTAAAAGTATCTTCAGGCTTTATTGCATCAGTTACCATCCTTTTTTTATGGCATACTGTCCGCCTTTGAATATAAATTACTGGAAAATGTTCTTCTTGGGAGCTATAAGATTATGTTCGCTTGATTCGGCAATGCGCGCTGTGGCGATACCTCCTTTACTAAGATTTTCCTTTTGAATACTTCAGTATTATGCTTCACTAAGTTACGAAACGTCGTTCTCATCTTGAGCACTATCATTTTAGGCGGTGATTTTGAATAGTCACTGACTTATTAACGGCATTCTTTCACAATAGTGGAGAAAAGAAAATTTACTATAATTTTTAATATAAAGTAATTGCTCTTGTTAGGTAACAGCATTATTTTTTATTCCTTAATTTTATTTATTTTTACTTCCTTGTACAAAGGAAGCATTGCAATCACGAAAAATTCGCTTACCATATTTCAAAGAAACATTCCGCTTACCATAACGAAAAAACTATCCATTTTCCCCGCTATCGAAAGCAATTTAACGATGTTTTTGCCTGACATCTGTACGTAAAGACAGAAGAAGAACTGTTTTTCCCCAAAACGGGAGATTATAAAATTCATTTAAAATGGATTTAGAAGAGGTTTTTTCCCTGATGCATGTACGTATGTATCTCACATAACTCAAAACCGAGTAGCCTCAGAATGTTGAAATTTTGTATATAGGATTACTATAACATGTAATTGTGCACCTCCTGGTTTGGTTGCAATCGGCCGTACCAAACGTTTATATATATATGTACCACACTGTTACTCGGCTTGATCAGCTCAGTTCTTTTTTAGTCTTATATGTTGGTAAATTGTACATTTTTCGCTTTAAAAATGAGTGAAATATATTGTTCTTAGCTTCCGGTTAAGGTTTTCATGCCTTTAGTTAATCTGCATGCAATAATTGCAGAATTATCAACAGTTTAATAGTTGTTTAAGTGCGGCTAAACCAATTGTTTTTTGGTGATAGCAGCCATATTTGTTTACATTTGAAACTTAGCAGAATAGTAAATTAAATCGGTTTCCGCACCTTCAGTGTCTTTTTGCCGAGTGAGGTCAAAAGTAAACTTTCAGTTTTGTGCACCGAAAAATCTGCCTCTTTGCCCAATGGCCAAATTGCTTGTTTTGCTTAGAAACTCTAACTATAATTTTTTAAAATTTAACTGTAATTGATGCTCTATATATTTCAAATTTTTATTAAGATATTTGGAGGTCTATGTATTTTTTCTTTGCCGCGAAGTGAGAACTGAGTTAATTGAATGAGAAATCTGTTTCTAATGAAATTCGAGGAAATGAGTTTAAATGAAATACAGCAAAAAATGCCTGTAATTAAATATTCCGTACAAGGAAGTCATGTGGTTTCCACATCATATTTTTTTCATTTTTATTTCATCTGGACGTTTCTTCTCTTTCAAATTTAATATATTCAAAGGAAAAAATCTGAAAAAGGTTTTTCAGATTTTAAATTACGTCCAAAGGGAAGTTTTTTTTAACGTTTTGTGTATTACGTTTATTTATTAAATATCATGTTCTTTACACTTAAACCATAAAATTCAGTTCAACAGCAATATCGCAAAATAATTTTAATATGAACATATCCTTATAATTTCCCATACACAGATTCCCCACCCCGTAGAGTGTTGCCATTGCTCGCTTTAAATTCATGCGTTTGTTACTCAAAAATTCGTTTAAAGTTACAAAATATGAAATAGATAATAAAACAAATTCAAATTTGGGCTTGAAACTGCCATATTCTGGTGGAAACGTACGTTATTTAATTGATGGCTCTAGGTACGTGTTTATCCTAATGCAGAACATACACATTAGCAATTTTCATTATTTAATTTCTTTAAATATAATACAGGGAGATAATATTTGGTGGCAACGATATGAAAAGCAAATCGGACATTAATCCTGAACTAACGCAAAATGTCAAAACGAAAATTATAGTCCTTCAGGGCAAATTGCGCCCTTTGGACTAAAAATAGTTATTTGATTAAAAATATCTATATTTCAAATGCAATAGCCTCGATTTTTAAGGCACTTGCTAACTTGTTGATAAGAATATTTTTCCACGGATATATTTACATACTTTTCGAGCGATCTCTCACTTTTAGGAGCTATTTTCAAAACAAATTTGTTACTCTGTATTCCAGTCAAAACAAAAAAGTAGCATACCAGTGAAAATGCGAGTCTTTGTATCATAATTTTAATGATAAACTTTAAGTAGAAAATCGTTTTCATGAAATGTGAACGAAATTCTGCAATTATTGAAAGTTATAACAAAATTCAATCCCATTTTTAATAGCAATTGAGGGATTAAAATTCGATTTGCCAATACAGGTTTCATTTTGCGAATTTACGCCAAATGGTTTTAAAAGAAACGTAAGAAATAAATTCAAACAGGCCGAAGTTTTTATCCACTAACAGTTACATATAAGACGGTGATTAAATTAAAACTGAATGATCTATAATTTAGTGGAATGAATATGTACACTGAAAAAAAAGAAGGGGGGACAGATATCTTCCGTTTTACTGGGCCGATTGACGAAATTCAACTGGCGTTTTTCATGTCTCGAAGCGCGACTTAGTATATCGATTAGATTTATATATAGTATTGTTTTAATATGGGTATTTTGACACAAAAATCAGAGTTTTTCTGAAATGACATGCGAATCGGTTTTCCATATTTCGATTTTACGACTCAAATTTAGAAATTAGCTCTCAAAATTTTAGCTCCTCAATGGTAATTGAATTTGGTATATATTTATTAAGTTCTCTTTTTTATTATACTTGATTCCTTCTTCCGGAATTCGAAATTGAGGCTTAATCCAAATAAATGGCATTTTTTAATTTATTTTTAAAAAAATATGTATTTTAAATAGTTTATAGAAATTTTTGTATTATAAACCATAAAAAATTTTAAAAATCATCTCAAGGTAGATGTATTTCTAAGCATGTCAGCAAAATATTCGAGTTTTTTTATTCAAAATACGTGAATTACGTTTGGCGCCGTTTGTAATATTTTGGCGTCTCGTCTTAATATAAGTGAATGAGTTAACGAAAATGTGGTTTATGCGCTTTGTTAAAATTATTTGAAAGAATGAAAGATGGATCATTTTTCCTCTCGCGCATCAATGAAAAAAATTGAAGTACATTGGTATGAGTTAAGAATTCCGCCAAGTGAATTATTTTTGGCAGAAACTAAAAAAAATCGCCAAGATAAATTTTAAATTTATCCCCAAAAAGGCCAATAATTATAAATTACGGAGACCATATGTTCAAAACATGTGGTCTCCACTCAGAAAATATTCTAAGAGTGATTAAGAAATAGGAAAAAATGCATAAATTATCATGATGGACACGCTAGATAAGGAGGAGGAAGCCACATTAGCTGAGAAAGTAGGGGTAGGAAAAATCAAGTTGGATTTTGTTGAAGTTTTTGGTTTTTAAACTTTTTTGTATTTAATTATTAATTTTTGGTTAGTTTTTAGATTTTTAATAACATAAATAAAACTATAAAGTAGAAAGCGGATAGGAATGATTTACAGCGTAATAGATCATTATGGTACTATCTAATGAAGTAAAGTATGTTACGAAATGTACAAGGCGCGGTAAGATAGGTTACCTCGCAAAGCAGTTTTAGGGTTGTCCATAAAATGGCGACGGGAAGGGCAATGGTTGCCACATTTGGCCAGAAATCGCCCATTTGGATGACAAAATTGGCGCTATACCATGGACGGATGGAGAACCTTCTGGAACGAATTCTTACCAGGTTTAGCCCAGAATGTTCTCGAACACAAGCCGAAAGTTATATAAACCTTGCTGGTCTGCAGTTAGTTAATGTGTCTCAGAGGGTGTGCCTCATCGAGAGGGAGAGTCAGACTGCTTCGTCTGAAGTGTGAGTTAGTTAGTATCGAGTTGGTGTCTCATCTAGCGAGTCAATCCCTGCGAAGTCGATCGAGTTGACACCCGGGCAGCGAGAGCCGAGTGCGTCGTCGAGTGCACTGAAAGAGTCTCGTAGTCTATCGCGGTTAGTGCATCGTCGAGAGAGAGCGTGTTTATCTCCGGAACGATGAACCGAGAGTCGGAGCTGTGTCTGTGTGTCGTCGAGTTCAGCGAGTTGTAGCGTGCGAGTCCGAGAGACGTGGAGTTCCTGAGAACGCCAGCAGAGTCGGGAGCTACTCGAGATTTGCAGGAAGCTGTCTCCACCGATAGCCTGATACCTGAAGCGGTGTCGCTGATGTGTCCCGTTTTTATAGTAGTCTCGACGATTGTAAAAGTGTTTTAGGCTCTGACAATACGGAAATAAAGTGTGTTTCGATACTTCATCAAGTGTTGTCGTTACACACTCCAAATCCACACGAACCCCGTGCGAACGTGAAGGAAGAAAATAGCGTAACAATTGGTGTCAGAAGAAAAGAAAAACGCAACAGTATTAAATTTTCGTGAGGAAATTTCGGCAGGGCAAAAATGCTTCTCACCAAAAGTTACAAAATTTAATCTAGGCATAAGTTGAATCGAAGAATCGAAATATGAAAAATATTGATATATTATTTCAGAAATATATCAATGTCCGATTTTGTGTCAAAACACCAATGTTAGAATAATGCTATATATAAATCTAATATATATATCCTAAGTCGTGTTTCCGAGACAGGAGACACGCAATTTTAATTTCGTCAGTAAGCCTAGTAGAACAGGAGATATAGAACTGTCCCATTTTTTTCGCAGTGTACTTGATTTATTATACAATTTTATGGAATGCATCAGCTGTTTCAAATAATATCCTCCATTGCTTGTTTCAGAGTCCGGATACCCCCGCGTGGCAAAATGATTATTTGTGTGGTACGGGCATGGAAATGTATACGGAGACACTGTCATCGTCTTTTGTGGGCATGAGCTTTCCTCAGGCAGCTGAGTAAGTATGCATTCTGAAAGTATTTTAACATTATTTCTTTTCTTAGTTTGACTTTAACTGAGCAGTTTTTAAACTGAAGAAACGTAATTTGTAAACTCGGAATTGCCAGAATCGAATTTCCTAGCTGCACATTATCCTTACAGTCATGGGAATCCAATTCTATTGTTTCGAGAAACTATTACCTCCTTGTAATCGAGACGGAAAATTCGTTGTTTAACTTGATTCCCAAAATAATTAAATGTACAGGAAAATTTCAGAACCGGACTGATTGAATTTAGAAAGAATGTGAATACGTATTAAATATTTTATGGAACTCCGGAAAGTGAATTCTTTTTCCCATTTTTCACGAACTATCGCGTGGTGAAATATTCAGTTGAAAAACCACTGCTCTATTTCAGAAGATACTCACACGATTGCAATACCAATTTGCCTTTTAGAAACTCGCGTGCCGCAGCCGTCTACACTCATGTCCATAAATTAAGGATAATGCAAAATCAGGCAAAGGAAGACTTAGAAGCAAAACAAATTTGACTTATTCGTAAAGCTTATTTATTAAACAAAAGGTAAAGAGCAAAAAAAGATGCTATATGTTTGATATTATTAAAAAAATTAGCGATTTTTTCTCCCGGAGCAAATTACAAAAAAAATATTTACAAAAAAACAATATTACATGGTTGGTATGATTGTTAATACATTGTATGTCTCCCAGACGATGCAATACAGTCCGTACAACGCCTAGGCATGCTGAGTATCAAATTATCGATCTGATCTTGGGGAATATTACACCACTCAAAAAGCAATGCTCTCCGAAGTTCCGTATAGATGTAGGAGGAGGTGACGGGCTGCTGCAACTCGTCGGCCAAGCATGTCCTACACGTGCTCTACTGGATTCAAATCCGGTGAGAATGCTGGCCAGCCCATACGGGTGATATCCTCCGATTGGAGGCCTTCGCTTACGATGTTTGCACGGTGAGGACGGGCGTTGTCATCCATAAGCACAAATTGTGCGCCCATGGCGCCCCGAAACAAACGTACATGTTGTTCCAGAATGACGTCCCGATAGATTTGGCTTTTCAGTGTTCTTGCTTGTTCAAATTTGAACATGCAGGTCACTTCTGGAACCCAGAATAATTCCACCCCAAACGAGCACTCCTGCACCACCGTAAGTGTCGTTCAATGATGTTTTCTTGGTGGTAACGGGTACCTGGAGCTCTCCATATGAAAGTACGGCGAGAATCAGATTGCAAGCTAAACCTGGACTCGTCGGAAACCATCACACAAGCCCCCTGTTGCGGTGTCCACAATGCATGCTCTCTACTCCAGGCTAACCGCAGGCGACAGTGAGTTGCTGTAAGTGGAACGCATCTGACAGGTCTACGAGCATATAGACCAATTTGCCCTAAGCGTCTGTACGCGGTCTACCTTGAAATTGTCGTACCAGTGGCTGAAGAGAGCTGACGAGACAGATCTGAGGCTGTGCTCTGCCTGTTTCTTTTGGCAGTAACTGCCAAATACCGGTCATCATTCGACGTTGTAACTCTGGGGCGACCTGTGCTGTAACGTGTACTCACATTACCATCATCTTGGAATCGTTGCCAAAGCCTGGAGATGACACTCTGGGCAATTCCAAGTTCGTCTGATACTTCCAGTTGGGTACGCCCACATTCCAGACGGACGATAATTCTACCACGTAAAAAATCATCAAATGCGTCCTTTGTGTCATAACTATTCGGTTTATTGCATGAAATGCTTATAAAGCGCCTGCGAACAATTTTACTTCTTTGCCTGTATTCCTATATATCACTCTCTTACACTCTCGTCATTGTGACGTACCATCGGTGTCATATGGTTACTTCCTGAAATTTGCGTATGATTCTTGAAGATGTGTGTAGTGATTTTACAGGTGATATATTTATTTTAGAGTTCGATTTCCGCGTGACTCCGAATTATCCTTAATTTATGGACATGAGTGTATATTGAAGTGAGCCATAAAATCAAATTAGAATAATCACAATTAATAAATCAATAAATAATGAGCATACAAATTTAATGAACTGAAATTAGTATATTAAATTAATGATAATGACAAAATTTCTGATATTGCAGTGGAACCTCGAGATACGATTTAATTCGTTCCAGCATTGAGCTCGTATAGCGAACTTCTCGTATCTAGAAACAAAATTCCCCATTGAAAATAATGGAAATCCAGTTAATCCGTTTCGCTCCCCCAAAAATATCAACATAAAAAATCAATTTTTCTTATAAATAACACTGGTAAATAACATAGCCGTAGTTTACCTTTATGATAGCTTCCGACACCGACCTTAACTGCTTTTCGTTAATCCGCACCAACAGCAGCTTCTCAACAAATTCTAGGAGTTGGACAGTGCATGGAAGTAACGGTAACTCCTTGCGTGTAGGCAAAGGATTCTACTGGGGTTTGATGTATCAAGTTTCTTAATTTCTTCCTTCTGCTTCAGATAGTGCAGATCGCCGATGTCAAAATGCCTTAAGTATTCGCCATTTTTCATCTTAATTTCAACGGCCATCGCTTCCTTATTTTTCTCTGCAGAACTATCTGAGGCAAGAATCTTCCTGAAAGGTATCGTGAAATAATTATTTTCACGTTAAATGTAATAAGCAATTAACTCACAAGCGCACAAAGACGTAGATCAAAGAACACTGAGTGATATGACGAGCGAATTCCCCGATTCGAGCCGAATCGGGAAATGGCGCCACGCATACCAACAGCCTGGCTCATTGCTCGTTACTCGAATCAGTGCTAGTATTTAGGGACAAATCTTTCGCTCATACTTTCTTCATATCTCCAATTTCTCGTATATAGAGGTGCTCGTATATTGAGGTTCCACTGTATTGCTAATCAGTTATACCTCAAAATACCAAATCTCGTATCATTTGCGGCTGCAAATGGAGCTCAATGTCGCTAGAAAATTTAAAAATAGTGAAGACACAATCCTTCTTCAGTATTTTTCAATTTTCTAGTTAAGTTCCGACTGAACTGAAAAACACTCAGATGTATTCATTAAATATCTGAGAAGGTTCTCAGGTACGTAAGCATTAACTTATCTATTTACATGCAGGGTATTTCCGCACAGGTACAGGTACAGGTACAAGTAGGGGGACACCAGATACAGCAGGTGATCCAAGTATTGTGCCTTCCTACTAACTTTCCCGAATAGTCTAGCTTGAACAGAAGATGCCCGGCTCAAGCTACATCGCGGACACTATATACAACTGGCATTACATGGTAGTTACACGTTTGTTGCATATTGTTAAATCATATAGGTTACGGTTGTTTTCACATGTTTCTAAGTTTGAATCAGTATTTTGCGGGTTGAAGTTCTACAGTTCTTTCAATCAGTTCCGTGATGCTTACATTTATTGCAAGGAATTCTTTTCACATACGGCATATTTTTGCATAGAGTTCGTGTTTGCATTACTTTTGTTGCAATCACATAGTTTGCAAAAGTCCATATTATAAAAATTATTACCATATTAAATCTATTTAACATATCACTGTTGTGAATATACATGCTGCAGTGCAATGACATTAATTTGAATTTTTAATATATTTTATGACTGAGCAAGTACTTAATTATGAGATACAAAGTTCTGTGAAAGATTTGCGCTATCGTACCTTTCGCTATTTATTGCGTAACTAGTTGTGAGATAAACTGGGAGGGATTATGTTACACGGGGGCGCATAACTCTTGTCCTTTCGCTGCTAAGAACTCGATTTTTTTTAATTTTTATTCGAAGGTGTACATTTGCTGTTGCATAGCTTAAAAATGGATCCAAGTTGTAAGTTGGTTTTTCAAGGTGTAGTTTCTCTGTTATGGGACAATAAAAAATGTAGCGCTCTAGATCGCCTCTATCTCCATATACACATGTGTCACTTTCAAATATGTTTCTTTCATAATTAATATGTGGGGAAGGGGCCATGTCCAGTAATATACCAATTTATGTAAGGGTAAATGCTATTGTTCTTCTCTTTGATGCTTGGAATAAATCTAAAGGCTATTCCGCCTTCTTGTGCGTTTTACAAATTGTAGGTGTTTCAGCACATGCGACATGCGACGGAGGACGTGGGCACCACCCTTCTACCAATACGGTTAATCGGTATAGCGCCACGTCCACCTTTATCTAGATAACCATACGTAGTCAATGTGTTAATACACTAAGACATAAATATACGTAAGCATACATACAAATTTGGTACTTAATACATTGTTAAAGCTAATTAATGTTAGACACTAGATAATAACATGTTACAAGGTGTATGCAAAAGCATGGATACCGTAGCATATGTACATAACGTTTGTACTCATATGTTGGGTACACTATGATCCTTTGAAACATTATCATTAGATACACAAGACAGACACTAGATAATACCATGTTACAAGGTGTATGCAAAAGCATGGATACCGTAGCATATGTACATAACGTTTGTACTCATATGTTGGGTACACTATGATCCTTTGAAACATTATCATTAGATACACAAGACATGTACATACTGAAACATTAGGTCCACAGTGTTACGCTAGAATAAGTAATTAGTACAGTGAATTAAATGTTAGACCCTAGACTAGTACTGTGTGGTACAGTGTCTTGCTACTGTTTTATTTCTGCTGTTTTCTAACCTATGTACAAATATATTAATACACGTGTATTAGGCACACAACCAAGCGTGTGTGGTTTATGTGGGTAACCAAGCGTTAGGTACTTAGGTACTACTGTAACATACATTAACAATAGGTACTTAATACAATGCTGAATAGATAATTGGTGCAATTTATTTTAGAGTGAGACCCTAGTTTGAATTTTTCGATACGGTGCCGTGCTGCAGGATAAAATGTGCAGATGCATAGTTATTTTATCATATATACAGAACATAAATTCATATACATATATACAGACATTTTGGGTACACAATAGCTATTGGATACACACACATTAGGTACATGATTATTCGGTGCGTAATAAATGTATATTAAGCTATACAGTGCCAAGTTATGTGATAATACTAGTAGATGCTCGGATACAATTACAGCGGTTACAAACTTTCAACACCTAGACGATGGAAAATAGCATAGCAATGCATGGTCGGAAACGCTCTCTTGGCGCGGTAGTGACGGCACAAAAAGAAAAGAAGGAAAGACACGAACAGGGTGAGAAAAGATGTTTATTATTCGGAGTACAGTAAAAGCAGCGTGGCCTTCAGGCAGGCAGAACACACTATCTTTTCACCCTCTGAAGCCTTCCTTTAAATATTACTTCTTTATCTCTACCTAATTTGAATACCATTTGCTGGAAACTTACATTCTGGCAGAGAAACAGAAATTGTGGAGATAGTGTTGTTGTCGCTTTATGCTCACTTGTCTGACGTAGTCAGCCCAAGCCCACGAAATTCCTCGTGGCAAGGAGCGCTAAAATACAATTGCCGTTGGCAACAGCCTTGAGCACATAACAGGTGACAGTGCTATTTAGCTCGGTTCCGCCCCCAATTTTCATGGAGAGCACCCCGGGAGGGGACGAGTCCGAGAGTTTCCCACTCCTCTCCCCTTCCACCAAAGCACACCAGAAAACTTTTCGGCTCGCCGCATATTTAGAGTGCCGCCATGCCACACCGACATTATACATTTACAAATATCCATGCCTTCTCCGGGATTCGAACGCGGGCTCTTGGGACGGCAGTCAGCGACGCTAACTACTAATAAACTACTGGTTGGGCGACGTGGAGATAGTATAGCATATTAAATAACACTATAACATAAAATAATTGGTTAGAAATTTAAATGATGCCATATAATGTTTAAATCATTCTTTTTAAGTTACGTTCCATCAAGTTATAAGTTTCTGCCTTTTCTTAGAGCTATCACTCTTCCTCGGCTCAGGCAATTTGTGCATTGCTTGTAGGACGAGACGATGTACACGATAACAAATGAAAGATAGGGTATGACATATATGCAGAGAATAAAATACAAATATAAGAGATGAAACATACATGTTGCAGTTACAAAAACATGGAATAACAGGTTGTTAAGAAGTGTTTTTTTTTGGGGGGGGATGTATTTAGTTTAAATGCCTCAAAACAGCAAGTGGTCTTTTTCTGTACTCCCCCCTTATTTTGAAATTATAATTACGCATAGGTATAGTGGGATTAGATACCATAGGAATGTTTTTAAAGAATCTGTGGGCCAGGGTGGCCATGTGGTCATGAATATAAGAATATGATCACTCTTCCACAGACAGTTCTAGGAAGAGCACTTTGGCTTTCGAATAGAACCTGAAATTCTAGTTTGTGAATAGACTTAATTGCACGCTATCCATACCTGAAGACAGCTAATTTCTATTTACCTGAAATATTATCTGTTCTTTTTAACTTGTTTAAGGATATCATGAACATTTTATTTAAAGTTTTAGACTCAATAAGCAGACAGATGGAAACAAATAATTAATACTCTCATGAGCTTTTAATGATGTACGTTTTTCTCATGATTATTACTTTAGAATCCTAATATGGTGACCGCTTTAAATATTCCTTAAAGGGCAACTATTTTTCGTATATGTAAGGCAAATAACATTACAAGTTGGAAAGAATAAGAATATAATATTTTATTTTAAAAAAAAAAATCTGAAAGTTTTCAGATTTTAAATTACGTCGAAAGGGGCGTTTATTTAACATTTTGTGTGTTACCTTTGTTTATTAAATATCATGTTCTTCGCACTTAACTCATAAAATTGAGTTCAAAAGCAATATCGCAAAATAATTTTACATTGAGCGTATCTTTAGAATTCCCGATACAGAATCTCGCTAACAGGAGATAAAAATGTCTTTCCTGTACAACGTTACCATGGCTTGCTTTTAAATCCTTCAGTTTGTTAATAAAAAATTCGTTAAAGTTTTTACAAAATATGAAATCGTTAATAAAACGAATTCCAAATTTCAAATTTGGGCTTCCACATGCCCATATTTGCAGTAGAATTATGTCATTCAAAATTTGATAGCTCTAGGTGCCGTTGTTTTATCACAATGCGCGAAATATACATACATTTATGCAGATTCTTCATCATTTAATTTCTTCAAATATAATACAGGGCGATAATATTGGGTGGCAACAGTCTGAAAAGTGAAACGGACATTCAGAGTGATTCGACGTAAAATCGCAAAACGAAAACAATAGTCCCTCAGGGACAAAGTCCCTTTGGACTAAAAAGATAGATAGATATAATTCTATAAAAATAAAGATATAATTCTTTCAGGAAATAATAAAAATGGTAAAATATATTTCGAAGTACATTATTATTGCTAGTAATCCAATTTAGCTAATGACCTCTTACGCCATGATTAATGTCCGGATCTTAACGTAGCTCAGATTTTAGCTAATGATCATTATCTTGTGTTTGTTCCGCATCTATTTTTAAACCATTAATTATGCGATTGTCTTCTCCTCCCTCCCCTCCCAAGTTAAATTATTTTTCTCAACAGATGTCGCTTATGATGGAACATAAGGACTTGCGCAATTGAGTTTTTCTACAGATGAAGTTTTATAACGCCCTTTCAAAAACAATGGACCATCTGTTTTAATTAGAGAAGAGTTATTCGTACCACTTATTTGTACTAGATTTTTTAATGTACATTTGTACATTTCAGAAATTTACACTGCGGGGGAGGGGGATTAGGACAATTTTATGTCTCCCTTTCAACTGGGTCGATTGACAAAATTCAAATTGCGTTTTCCATTTATCAAAAGCGCGACTTATGATATATATTAGATTTATATGTATCATTGTTCTAACATAGGTATTTTGACCAAAATCGGACTTTTTCTGAATTAACATACCCATTTTTTTCCATGTTTCGACTCTACGACTCAAATTGTGCCTAGATATTAAATTCTGTAATTTTTGGTGCGAAATTTGCCGAGAAATTTTAAAATTTATCGTGGCTCAATTTTTTCAGTTTGCGCCAAGAATAAATTCTTAATTTCTTAATTTATTCTTAATTTATTTAATTTATTTCTTAATTTATTAATTATGGCGAAATTCTTAATTTATGGCAACGTGTTTTCGATTACCTTTTTTTTTTTTTTTTTTTTTTTTTTTTGTGCACGAGCGAGGAAAAAAAGTCATCCTTCATACTTTCAAATCATTTTAAAAAGTGCATAAACCAGATTTTCGTTATTATCGCTTATAATAAATACGTCAAATTTCAATACGCGCCAAAATGTTAATTCACGTACATAAGAAAATTGTGAATAAAAAACTATTTTTTCAGGTATGCTTAGATGATGGAAAAAATTTTAATTTGTAAAAATTATTTTAAAATACAAATTTTTAAAACAATCATAAAAATGGGCGAATTTTATTTGGAATGAACCTAAATTTCGAAATGTGAAGGGAAGAATCAATTAAACTTAATAAAAAAGAGAGATTAATAAATATATACCAAATTCAATTAGCATTCAGAAGTTAGAACTTTGAGAGCTAATTTTTTTAAATCTACGTGTGCGATTTTTACAAAACTTGGCAGTTTGGCATCATCTGAATCGTACAATCGAAATATGGAAAAAATTGGCATGTTATTTCAAAAAATGTCCGATTTTGTATCAAAATACCTATATTAGAACAATGCTATATATAAATCTCGAAAGTTGCGCTTTAGAGGCATGAAAAATGCATTTTGAATTTCGTCAATTGGCCCAGTAGAACGGGAGATATAGAACTGTCCCTTTTCTATAGTCCAAAGGGGCTTTGTCCATGAAGTACTATTGTTTTCGTTTTGCGATTTTACGTTGGTTGACTATCAATGTCCGTTTCACTTTTCAAACTGTTGCCATCCAATGTTAGAGTCCTGCATTATATTTGAAGAAATTAAATAATGAAGAATCTGCGTAAATGTATGTCTGTTTCTCGCATTGTGATAAAACAACGGTACATAGAGCCATCCAATTTTGAATGACGTAATCCTCTTACGAATATGGGCATGTGCAAGACCAAATATGAAATTTGGAATTTGTTTTATGATCGATTTTTTATTTTGTAAAATTTTAACGAATTTTTGATTAAGAACTGAAGGATTTCAAAGCGAGCGGTGGTAATGTTGCACAGAAAAAACATTTTTATCTCCAGCGCGCGAGACTGTGTATCGGAAATTCTAAAGATAGGTTCATTTTAAAACTCTTTTTCGATATTGCTGTTGAACTAAATTTTATGGTTTAAGTGCGAAGAACATGATGTTTAATAAATAAATGTAACACACGCAATGTTAAAAAAAACGTCCCTTTAGACGTTATTTAATATCTGAAAGCATTTCAGTTTTGTTTGTTTATTTGTTTGTTTTGTTCTTGTTTTTAGGCTGTGTTTTGTGAAGTTAAAGCTGTTGTTATTGGCTATCGAAATCACCCACGATGATGGTCTGGATTCCAAGATCTCTATCAACCCGAAAAGCCAAGTCAAGCTCACACCAGATACGCAAGGGTTTTTCATCGCTCAGTCTGCTGACGAAGTCAAGAGGTAAGACTCTGTTCTAATTGGCAGTCTCACCTGTAATCCATAATTTGAAAATGCACTTCAAAAAATCGGAATCTCTTTCTTTTTTCTTTTGAAAAGAAAAATTTCAAATATTCGAAAATATAGTCTACAAAACTTATATCAGCTTAAAAAAATGTTAACTATTAGAAATTAGCTTTGTGAAAGATTCGTACTGCGTAAGTTTAAAAGTTACCAGAATTCATTTATTGTTGCCTGCGTACGGGTTTGTAATAGATTAAATGCGCACAGAACAGATAACTTTTAATAGTTTTTACCAAAAGAAGCACTTTACAGTTCTGGAACTTTCCACAGGGTACTTTTCCGTTTCGCCGGCGCAAATCTTGCCAAGCAGATTTTATTGGCGACAATATACAGTATACACATAAAAAATGCTATCAAATGTTAGTTCAAAGAATTTTTTATTTTGAAGGCATAAACAATTTAATATCGTTTAAAATTTTGTACAAAGCCAATAAATTTGTAAAAGGACAATAATTTAAGAATTTATTATGCTTTCGTGGTTCAACAGGCTAATTCGCCGGTTCATATCACGTGACCCCAAGTGAACTCGTCTCACGTAAACTTCGCTACAAAAATCTAATTCTCTCATTAATTATCTACATTATTGTCAAGTTAAATCATAAATTGGAATGCAAGTTTTAATGCAAGAATTATTTCAATTCGTACGAATAGCTTACTCAGAAATTATGTAAAACCTCATATTCTAACGGATGAATTTAACCCTTAATTTTGCCTTTTTCTGTATTTTCGCCTTCGGGTGAGCGGTGTGATTGCATTCTAATTGACTTAATTACCGCGAATGGACTTAGGGCATAAAATTGTACTATCTGGTAAAAATTCTATGTAATTGTATGATAGTAGTGAAAGAACGAATTAATCTGATAAGAAATTCTTCTTGTTTTGAAAATGAGGCGTAAAAGGTTACCAGCGAGGATATTCCGTTTGGCATCAGCTGTACCATTATTGGCGACTTTATCGCCTGCGCCGGGGAAACGGAAAAGTACCTTCCACAGAAATAGTCGTACAGCTCTTTTAAGCGTCACATAGTACAATCAGTAGTCACACTCCAAACTACTAAAAACGTTAAACACAACATAATGCAAATCGCATCAAAAATGCGAACCTCATTCAGATATCTCAGTGTTCCTAAGTCGTTCCGGACTAACAACTGAAAAGCTGATGCTCTCTCCGCTGCTATATAGTTTTCCCCCTGCCGCCGAAAAATCTCTGGTACCTTGCACTTCTCGAAATTATTGGAAGGCATGTGAGAACCGGATACGTTTACGGTTACATATAGGTATCGATTACAGTTATTCGATTACAATACCACTTACAGTAATACAGAAACCACATCTAAATGTCGCCAAATTTGGCGACTTTTTCAGATTTTTTGCCAAATTCGGCGACAAAAATTAATTGCCTAAACCGTCATTATTTTGGCGATATCTCGCCAATTTAGTGATATAGGCATTTATCCAATGCTCTTATTTTTCCGGCAGAACTTCGTCTTTTTCAAGCATTTCATGTGAACATTATACATACTATTTTGTATATAATTTCACTAAAATTATCTATATACATATATGCAAAATTCGTAACAGTATCAAAATCATTTAATTTATTTCTTTTAAAGCAATCACTTCGGACAGTGAATAAAAAATTAGTATTGGGAACTGTTTGAAAATGAATTCTGATAACTTTCATCGTGTGCTTTCTTGCTTTCTTCGGTGACCCGTCTTGCTCGCTACCTTTGATAAAAACATTTAATCCTAATAAAATGTCTGACATGCTACACAACATAAGCATTTATTTTAATACCTCTTGCAAACAGAAAGCACATTATCCATTCTAATGTTCTAAAACTGAAAGAAAACATTCAATCTGAGTGTCACTTATCGAAGTATTCTTTTTTGTATGAGACGATTTTTTGTATGAGATACCTTAGATTAGGAAGTTAGGAAATTGTTGGAAACGATCTTTGAATCCATTTGTTGATTAGCTTATTAGAGTTGATAGGGTCGCTATCATTATTTATTTCCTTACTTGGATGTCAAGCGAAAAAGTTAAGCAAAATTCAAAGGATGAGAATAATTGGGATACATATTTGGATGGTTTTACGCACTCATTGTTTGCTATCTAAATCACTATTTCTACTTACTTCTGGCCGAGTGGTTAAATCGCTGAACGCTGATAGTACGGTCAGGGGCTCGAATCTCGACACATTTTTTGACATGGCGGCCTCGTCTGCCTTTTCTTCGCAATTTCCCTTCGAACGCGTGCAGCGCCATCTGTTGGTCGGAAAAGGCGACATCCCACATTCTTAACCATCATTTTCTCCGCACTTACAGCACTTTCAAACAGCAAAATTACAAAACAATTTTAAAGCAGCATATGTTTAGAATTCCTGATGCAATATTTAAGTGTTGGCATAGAGCTTTCTAATTTTTTTCAGTCTTTTTAAATTTGAAAAATGATATACCGTTTATAGTGATTCAACGCAAAATGCCGTTTTCGAGATTATTGTACTTAATAAATTATACGATCATTTTCATTTTCAGGTCCTTTAGTCTTTGAGATAAGCCTTTATTTAAAACCTCTAATTTTTCTTTATTCCTGAACGATGTTTGTTATTAAAGCAAGTTTTATTACTTTTAAAGCTTTCAATAATGTTTTGCCCAGAATGGCTATTAACTTCGTTTTGACATTTTGCGTCGAAACCTTTTAAAGTCTGAATCACTTTCCAAACTTGCCACCAAATATTATCGCCCTATATTGTAGTTAAAAAAATTAAATGATGAAGAATCTGCATAAATGTATGTATGTGTCTCGCAATGTGATAAAACAACGGTACCTAGAGCCATCCAATTCTGAATAACGTACGTTTCCACCCGAATATGGACCTTTGGAGTTTGTAAATTGTTTTATTATCTGTTTCATATTTTGTAAAATATTTATGAGTTTTGATTAAGAAACTCAGCGATTTCAAAACGAGCGAAGACTACACTGTGCGGAGAAAGAAAACATTTTTATCTCCCGTGCGCGAGACTGTGTATCGGAAATTCTAAAGATATGCTCTTTTTAAATTATTTTGCGATATTGCACTTTGGGCGTAATATAAAATCAGAAAGCTTTTAGATCTTTTCTTTCCCTTGTTATTTCATTTTATTTATTTTCCCGATTATTTCTATTCATTTAATGCATTATTAAAATTTCAATCTATTCTTTTAAGTCTCGTTTTTTATACATTATTGCAGAGTTTGGTACTATTGTAAGAACTGTCATGAAGATGTAAAAGATGAAAAACAAATTAAAAAATGCAAGTGCAAAAATCGTAAGTAATGCTTATATTTTCCTTCATTCTATTTATTTTCTAAAACATTCAGTTGTTATATTAACATGTGTTTCCATTCACTTTATGCCCAAATTATTGCTTCATAAAAAATATTTTAATATTAAATTATAATAAAAAGACTACATCGAATTTCTTTGTTCATCAAAATAGTGCCCTATTCTAAAATATATTTATCGATAAATATTATTATCTGAGAAACATAATATTAAGATTTCAAACTGTTATTTAAAAAAAATAATATTTGAATTTTAAAGTTTATGCTCTTATATAACAATATATGAAAACTATACTTTGTGATACAATGTTTTGATAATTTTGTGGTAGTTTTTAATATGAGTTACATTTTAGAATGACTTTATATGTTAATTTAATGTTTCCAAAACCATAAAAAGGATATTTAAATTAAGAATTTTATCTTAAATTTAAAATTATGTATAGTCAAATAAACAAAATTCAGCTTTATTGCAATTTATATATTTGTCAATGTATAAATAGATATTGTTATTGCTTAACTATGTACACCTGTATGCAAAAGTGGAATCTGTTGCAGATTTCAGAAGGGGAAGTTAAGAATTATCTGTGTTTGTTTCTAATTTTAAAATGACTCTTTAATTCTGTATATTTTAACGTGCATAATTAGTTAAAAATTATTTTAAGCCTTTTAATTTTATTTAAATTAGTTGAAGAATTCAAATATTTCAGGAAGAGGTTAGTTGCATGCATTTCTAAACATTTGAAAAACACAGATGGTGCCACTCTTGCATGGAGGTTCCTATGGTATATATATATATATATATATATATATTGCACAGAAGCTTGTGTTTTTGTGCTTAATCCTTTAAGTTCACATCTCACACTTCGAAGCTGCCTTCACTCACTCTTCGACTGATCTCTGTGACTTGAATCCGAGGATTTAATTTAATCGTTCTCAAAATTAATCAAACTGATGATGTAAAGCGAAAGGAATTTTACTATAAAAAATCGGTATCTGCTTCATATTTCATTTTCTTTAATGCAAATGCATTAATGTATTTCATGAATAGATTTCAAGGCTTTTGAAAACATTTGATTGTCTTCATGATTCTTTCTAGAGTTTTAAGGGGACTCGGTACCTTTTGAATGATTTTTTTATTTAAGAACTGTCATCTCTTTATGAATAATATTAAGTGGTTTTATAAGAAAAAATGATTTTAAGCTGAAAAAAAAATTCAACAAACAATTCGGCCAGCCGGCAAGAAGGCAGATTTTTCGGTGCCCAAAACTGAAAGTTTCCTTTTGGTCCCACTCGCAAAAACACACTGAAGGTAATTTAAATGTAAACAAATATGGCTGCTGTAGTTGTAAAAATTAGGCTTAGCCGCACTTATTTTTAAATTGTTGATAGTTCAACAACTATTGCATGTATAGTAACTAAAGGCATAAGAACCTTTACCGGAAGATAAGGACAACATAATTTAATCATTTTTAAAGCAAAAATGCACAATTTACCAATATGTAAGAATAAAAATACTGAGCTTACTGAGCCGAGTAAGAGAGTGGGTACATATAATATTATATATATTTTACATACTTTTGGTGCGGCTGAAATGACAAGCTGAAACAAAATTTTTTTTTTTTTTTTTTTTTTTTTTTTGTTGCTAGTTTAAATTTAACACATCAGAAATTCTTTCCCTCTCTCATAATTTTCAAGTTTTTTGCCCCAAATGTTTTTATTATATTTATTAGAATTTTCTGAATAATTTTAAGGATTTATTTGCCCTTAATGAATTATTTTCTGAAAAAAACATAAAAAGCACATTTTTATGTAAAGATTAAACAGAAAATGTGATCGATTCTTTTCACTACTCATCCTCGTTTCTATTAAATATATAATTTTAAATAAGCAGTAAAAATATTAAATAGTTTAGTTCATATCTGTACAAGTTTTAGGACTTTAAGTAAAAGGATATATTGAAAAAATGCAAACTAAGAAAGCGTAGTTTAAAGAATGTTTAAAGAATGAATGTTTATTACTAAATTTCAGTATATATATAAAAAATAAAACCTAGCACTGTTCAACTGGTTAATATAAACGTAAATTACAAGCTTTTGTTTAAAACCGTATCTGGCTAGAAATATTGCAAAAAAAATCATAAAATGCAAGTGGAATTTTCTTTACCTGTTTTTGTTTTTTAAAACACCTTTCAAAAGAATGTTAACGTATGAATTGCTTTTTAATATCTATTAACACTTTTAATCATGTTAATAATATTAATTTTTTTTTACTTTTATTCATTTTTAAAAAAAGCAAAATTTGAAATTTGATCAGGCATAAAACATTTTATTTAAAATCACTCGGCAGCGTATATCATTTTTTCTCTTCTTTTAGCCATTTGTTCTCATATATAAGTAGCATTTTAAATTAATTTAGGTGAATTTTAATTAATTAAAGAGTTTAATGTTGGTTCCTGCACTACTTCAATAATGTTACAGTCAGGAACTTGATCACTTTCATTATACCACCTATTTCTGTTCGTGTCTCATCACAAATAATTTCAATTTTTGAAGAAGCATAGCAATATTGACTGATAATACACATTAGAAATATTTACTGAGCTTAATATATGTACGTAAAACGTGCCAGTTTAAAGGTAAAAAATTTTTTTCGAACTTTGTATTTAAATACATTAGTTTATACACATAAATAGAGTTTGTGGAGTACAGTCCACCCGAATATGGGCATCTGGAAGCCGAATTTGGAATTTTTTTAATATCTGTTTCATATTTTTGAAGCATTTATGAGTTTTTGATTAAGAAACTCGACGATTTCAAAGCGAGCAATGGCAGCACTACGAAAAAAAGACATTTTTATCTCCAGCGCACGAGACTGTGTATCCGAAATTCTAAAGATAAGCTCTGTTAAAAAATTTGGATATTGCTGTTGAATTAAATTTTATATTTTAAGGGCGAAGAACATAATATTTAACAAATAAAGGTAACAAGCAAAACGATAAAAATACGCCATTTTGGACGTAATATAAAATCTGAAACCTTTCAGATTGTTTTTAAGTCGTTTTTTTTAATTATTTTAATATTTGCTGCTTCTGTAAAGTAAACGTCCATTAGAAAGATTATGAAATTACCCGATATTAATTTCTGGATTTATAAATAAACTGATTTCTTGGGTTTGAAAATGACGTATTTCAAATAAGTAAATTAAAGTGTGATTTCCAAAAGCCTTGAAGAACTATTCGTGAAAAAACTGGAGAAAACCGTCATAGAGATCGGTAGCTCACCCATGTTGTCCGTCTGTCCGTGCGGCAGCGAAAGCTTTTGTGTTCGTCGCCTTCTCCAAGCAGCACGGCCTGTCGCTTTCTCTACCTGTGCCCTGAAATGTCGAAATAGTCCTAGTAACTGATTCACTTTCTTTTGATGCAGAGGAGAGGTTTAAGAGAAACGCCTGGGCTATGCTGCTCTTTAGGAAGAAAAGTACGTCTCGTTATGAGTTCCATTATCTTTTTTTATGTATAATATGCAAGAAATGGTGAAGATACAAAAAATATCTATTTCTTGATCTTTCTAAAGATTATAAACCAAAGAAAAAATATTTGAATGCTTGAATGTGTCTAGCAAATTTGGTAGAAATTTCTGATCATATTTTTAATATTTGTACTTTTTCTCTCTAATTCAAACTAATCCTTACTGAATGTTATATTTTGGTTGAAATGACGTTTGGAAATCTGTTAGTATAAGATGAAATCTGCGACGTTAATTTTGCATAAGAGAATAGCCAACCACTGGGTTAAAATAAAAAAATTACTGTGTATTTATGGCACGAATTTAAAACTTAATGTACTGTCACTTACAAAAATATCTGATGTGGACACCACGTGACTTCCTTGTACAGAGTATTAAATTATACGCATTTTTTGCTGCATTTCATTTAAACTTATTTCCTCGAATTTCATTAGAGATAGATTTCTCATTCATTTAATTCAGTTCTTACTTCGCGACATGGGAAAAATACATAAAATTTCAAAATATCTCCATTGTAAATTGAAAATGTACATAAACATAAAACACGAAATGCATCTAAAACAATTAAAAAACAATTTTTACAATTAAAATTGGAGTTTCTAAGCAAAAACAAGCAATTCGGCCAAGGGTAGGAAGGCAGATTTTTCGTTGCACAAAAGTGAGTTTCCTTTTGGTCTCACTCGGCAAAAAGACACTGAAGGTGCAGAAAATGACTTAATTACTAATCTGCTAAAGTTTAGATGTAAACAAATATAGCTGCTGTGGTTGCAAAAATTAGGCTTAGCCGCACTTCCTTTTAAATTGCTGATAATTCTACAATTGTTGCGTGCATGCTAACTAAAGACATAAAAACCTAAACCGGAAGATAAGAACAACATAAATCAATTATTTTAAAAGCAGAAATGCACAATTTACCAACACATAAGAATAAAAAAAAACTGAGCTCACGGTGCCGACTAACAGAGTAGGCATATATATACTTTTGGTGCGGCCGATTCCAACCAAAACGGGAGTTATAGCAGTCCCCTACAGTCACACTGTCAGGCAATAACGGTGGAGACAGCTTCCTGCAAGCACCTCACTCTGCTTGATCGTTCTCGGAACTCCACCTACTCTCGAGACTCTCCACGCTACAACTCGCGATGCACTCGACAAAACACGAGCACAGCTCCCGACCCTTCGGTTCAGTCGTTCCCGGAGCTCAACACGCTCTTTTCGACCAAAAACCTAACGCGATATACTCGACACTCTTGCGGTGCACTCGACGATCCACTCGGCACTCGCGCCGCTTCACTCGATCGATCCGTATTGACTCGCTAGACGAGACACAATGCTGACGCGGACCAGCAGGTTTTATATAGCGGCGTTTCGAGAACATTCTGGCTAAGCCGGTAAGAATTTCGTTCCAGAGGTCTCCAACCGTCCATCATTCGCCAAATTTTGCGCAAATGTTGCCTGATGGGCGATTTCTCGCCGAATGCGGCAACCCTGCCTTCCCTTGCCATTTTATGGCAACCCTAAAACTGCTTTGCGGGGAAGCTATCTCACCGCGCCTGTACATTTCGTCTTTGATATGAACTGGTAGAGTCATTAGGATTTTTTGAAGTAGAAAACTAAAAAAATGAGCAATGCCCTCGCCGGGACTCGAACCTGGACTTCTTGAATACCTTATATACTCCCTCTTTTAAAGGGCCACTGGGGTTAGTGGACCCAATCGCCAAATCCTGATCTACCATTTATAGAGACAATGATGACCTTTCTCATACCTACTCAAACTACGAACTATGAACTGACTTTATAATGTGTGAAATAACATCAGTACTACGCACTCAACACTATGTACCATGAAATGAACTGTATGCTGAACTACGAACTGTACTATGAATGAACTTATAAACTGTGCACAGTATAACAGAAAACTAAACAAACAACGAACTACGTTCTATAACCCCCTTCCATGAACAAAGCTCCAAGCACAAACACAAAATAAATATGTATATACACCTGTAAATAATTTATTGTATGCCGCCCAGTCGGTTGATTGGTCAGGGAAGCTGACTGCGATGCCGAAGGGCTTGGGTTCGAATCCCGGAGAAGGCATGGTTGTAACTGTCCGTCCCTTCATAGGAAAGGCGTTGGTGGCCCACCTATTAGGTGCCTCCATAATAAAGAGACCACCACATCCGGCCTTGCATAGATTAATGGACAGGGTTACATTTGTAATTGTTCATAATCTGCCATTGGAAAAAAATAATAATTTATTGTATTTATCCATGCAACTGCAAAGCACCCGTGTAAAGTATACTTTATGCCAATTTTGTTTGTGATGCAAATTATGCACCATTAATATGTAACTGTTATGAATGTTGCAACGTAAACAAATGCCCCAGAATGGCGTTAGTGTGCCCGGTGCAGGTACACTTTCATAGATGGTTTAGTGCAGATACCACTTTTGCCCATGGCGATGTTTTGGTGCCCTTTGCACTTGTTTCTGTCTGTCTGTGTGTGTGGTCATGAATCATCCCCCACCACAGGAGCAACTGTAGTCATTAGATTATTTTGATGTTGAAGACGTGAAAAATGAGCAGTGCCATCGCCGGGACTCGTACCCTGGACCTCTCGAATACGCGCCGAGTGTGCTAACCGTTACACCACGAAGGCAGGCAGAAAGGAGGGAGAAAATACATTATAATGCATACAAACTAGTTGCTATGTACAATGTGACTGTATATGTAATGTTCTAACACATAAAGTGAACATATATGTAATGTTCTAATGTATAATATAAATATCCTAAATCCAATGCATAATGTACTAATGTACCAACGCATAATGTGAATGTATCTATAATGTTCTCATGCATAATCTAACGCATACTGCAATAATGTCCCAACACATAATGGGAATGTATATGTAATATTCTAATGCATAATGTAAATATTCTAAATCAAATGCATAATGTAATCTAACGCATACTGTAATAACGTCCCAAAGCATACTGTGAAGGCACGTGTAATGTTCTAAAGCATAATGTGACTGTATACGCAATGTTCTAATGCACAATGTAAATATCCTAAATCTAATGTATATTGTAATTTAATGCATAATGTAACTATGTTCTAACGCATAATGTGAATGTATAAGTAATGTTCTAATGCATAGTGTTATTATCTAATGAATAATGTAACGTTCTAATGAATAATGCAAACTGAGAAGTATGTATACCACTGCATATGCCCTACTGCCCCTGCATGGCCATGTACAGCTTTTATTTTTGAATTTCAACAAACGCTGCACCCGGGCACTTTGGATGAGAGTATTTCCCGGTGGCGTTTGGTCAGCATGACTGCCAACCGGGTGAATCAGGCGCTGGGTCTGGGTGCCTCGTGTGAGACTCCCATGTGCTCCCTCGACCAGACGCTAGATTATGGCGGACGTGGCGCTAAACCAATTAACCATAATGGTAAAGGGATGTTGCCACGTCCCCCGTCGCTTATCGCTTATCTCTACGAACAATAAATGTTTACTCTTTTATTTGATTTCATTAAAGTTTGTATTTATTGAACTGTTGAATAACATATAATTTAATTGGTTAATTCGATCCTCATACGTGTTTGCGTGTGTGTTTTACTAATTTATAGGTCTCCAAGGACGGTAGGGACTACGCGTGTTATTGTCGTTGTCAAGGTCTGCTCAAAGTTTACTTTATTTCATTAAAGTTTGGATTTATTGGGCTGTTGAATAACATTACAATTTAATTGGTTAATTCGATCGTGAATATTGGTTGCGTGTGTGTTTTACTAATTTCTATGTCCCCAAGGATGGTAGGGACTATGCTTATTGTTGCCGTTGCTCTACTTGACCAAGGTCAATCAACGGGGAGGGGATGTCAACGTTCTTGACTTATGGACCTTATAAGGGATATAGAGTAACCCAGTGGGCGGGGCGCGTCACCCAGGGACGATCTGGTTTACTTTAACACTGAAACCTATGGCGTTTGTAGCACATAACTATTTTTAATTATTAAATGTGATACGTTGCATGAGTGATGAGGTTATGAGAGTCACGATTTTTTCAAATAAGATTTAGTATATCTCTTTAAAGCACTTTTTACTGCATTTCGCGGACTTTTTTCACCCGTAATTCTAGTATAAACATCTTTACTTTGGTAAAACGATAAAAATTCTAAATACACAATTTATGAACTTACTTTTGGGTACAAATAAAGTAAAATTAAATTAGATTGATAGTACTTGATGCTTTGAAACAAAAAAGGTAAAATTAAAAAAGATCTGTTTTTTTTTTTTTTTTTTTTTTTTTTAATTTTGAACATTTTCAGGCAGTGGTTTTTAAAATTCTAATAACATTATAAGACGGTCATTTGTTTGATTATATGATCATTAATTATTAACATTACAAGATGATCATAAGATGATTATTTATTTTAATAATTCATAAAATTTGAAGCATAAACTTTTCTGAGCGTAATGAAAAAAAAAAAGATAAAATAAAATTTAGATTCACTCAGATTTAATATTACCCCCAAAGGGACTTTTTTTAACGTTTTTTGTGTTACTTTATTTATTGAATATCACGTTCTTCGCACGTAAACGACATAAAATTCAAATCAACAGCAATATCACAAAATATTTGAAAACAGCATATCTTTAAAATTTCCTCGCTGGAGATAAAAATGTTATTTTTCGTATAGTGTTGCCATTGCTCGCTTTACTTCTGTTCGCTTTAACTTGTTGATTGTGTTAATCAAAAATTCGTTAAAGTTTTACAAAGTATGAAATGAATTAAAACAAATTCGAAATTCGGCCGTCTAGATGCCACGTTCGCGTTGAGTATTACTTATTCAAAATTTGATGGCTCTAGATATCGTCGTTTATTCACAGTGCGAGAAACATAACATGTATTCATGAAGATTCTTCATTATTTAATTTCTT